ATATCTAGGTGTTTTTATGGGAATGTGGATCTTTCAGATCAATTTGAGAAGCAATTTTGATAGGTACACTTAATTTTATTGCATCATGTAGCGCGGGGCGCCAGTCTTGGTCTTGATTTGGTCTCGGGTTAGGTGGTCTTGACTACAACTCTGCTACGTGGCTCCTTGGTTGCATGTCCTCCCCCTCCCACCCTCTTTCTGTTGGGACTTCTTTCAAAATAAATGCCAATAGTGGCAAAAAAAAAAGTAAAGTTCATGCTATTTTAGGACAGGAGACAAAATGTTTCCATCCCTGAAATTATGATGCATAGAATCGCATGTCTAAATCTAAACCATGTTACAGAGAGTAAACACAATAAAAACATGCTTCATCTGTGGCATTGTTCATTAAAATGGCACATTACTGATTAAATACAATAGGTACACTTAATGATATTGTATTAGCCACTAGGTAATGCATTCAGCAAGTACTTTTACTTTTAATACTTAAGTATTTTTAAAAGCCTGTACTTTTTTACTTAAGTACAAATGTTAATGTGGTACTTTTACTTGAGTACATTTTTGTCTGTGTATTTGTACTTTTACTTAAGCACATGTTTTGAGTACTTTCTCCACCACTGATTTCCATTCAGTCAGGACTTTATGCTGACTCTAGCCACATGAATCACATGTAGACATCGATTAATGCCTGATTTTAAAATTAGTTAACTAGACTTGTAGCCCTTATGTTGTGCCCATGTGGCTGGACACCACACGGCACGATCGAACCCGATCGAACCGTATACCTAGGATTTCTGTCGGCTAATGTGTGGTCTCTCAGGTTTTGAAAATGGGCCGACAACTTGTGTCGTGTGCACTGGACATTACACCAAGGAAATGAGGAAGGGAGGGTCAGCTGAGAGCACCGGAGTTTAGCCTTTTTTCATTCAGTGTCATCAATAGAAAGAAAAAAAGGCAGGAAGAGATAATAAAGCCGATAATTAAAATGAGGTCGATAGGTTTAATTTATCGTGCAATTAATTGATTTATCATTTATCGCGACAGGCCTAACAGAGTCAATTTTATTTCTCTTTTTGGTTGTTTTGTTTACTTAGTTTACCAGTTCCAGTGTTCAGTGTTCTTTTGAAAATAAAGTGTATCTATTTTTGCGGGATATCGCTTGCATTATTATGTCATTACCATTAAGTTTAAAATGGTCTCCAAACAATTTATCGCAAAATTTGTAATCGTGACAGGCCTATACAGACATTTTTTTTTACCATTCATACACAATTATAAATAACTGGAATAGTCGTGTATTTAAAAGACAAAATGTAATTACTTAATGACCTTTCTCTCTTGCTCTCGATGAAGGCGGACGCTTTTTTCCTCTACTCCCTCCCTGCCCTTCTTGCTCTGCTTTTGTCCTGTCTTTTTCTATATTTTTGGACCCTTTCTTTGCACATCATCCAAATCTACAAATTATGGATCTGGTCAACCGATCTCTCAATGTAATTGATCAAATTTACGATGAGAAGTCTGGGCACATGAGAGCCCTCTTGTCCTGTAGGGACACACCCGGTGGGATTTACCCTGGATTTATTCATGATAACAGGATTTCTGCTGTTTGGAGCTTGTGGATTCCTGGCTTATCGACAAATTTGTGACGGACTTGGCTGAACTAGCGAACACTCAGACTGTTGGTGTGGACAGAGACGAGGACTCTAAAACTCACTAACCGGATGGAATCGATCTTGGAGAAGTTGCTGGTTTCGGTTCAGTGAAACGACCAAACTAATTTGGATGATTGGGAACTGAGATGTATCAGAGAGACTTTAGAGAAGATTGAAATTTATAATCTTCCCGACCTAAGACATTCTGTTTCTGAATTGGCTTTCCCCATGTGGCCTTGGAAGGGCTGCATATTTCTAATCTCCTTGAAGATATGTAAACACAATGCTCTTCCCTCCTCACCCCCTCCTGTATCCATGGAGTTGCGAAGCTGAACGCTCCTAAGGACATTCCTGGATAAACAACACCTTTATCAGACTTTGCCAGGAGGCTCAGTAACGTGACTTCATGGCCCTTTGACGTCACCGCCTTCACTCGTATCGTTGTTTTGCCCATTGTTTTGTCTGAATGTTGCCATTTGCCCTAATGTGTCCTTTCCTCTTTTTTGTTTTAGAAACGGTGGAGTACTCCATATTTAACCCAGAAAAGGATTATTTTAGTTTATTAGTAATATCAGAAATTGTGGAGTACGCACTATTTAGATCAGGGGTCTCAAACTCAATTTACCCGGGGGCCACTGGAGGCAGAGTCTGGGTGAGGCTGGGCTGCATAAAGGATTCCACAAAAAACATTTAAAAAATATCCTCAAATGTCATCAACATTTAATTATTTCTCCAATACATGAACTGTAGGCTTTGGCATGATGAAGACATGATGAGGGTGTGACAAAATTTAGGGTGCGTTCACACTGCAGGGTGAAGTGACCCAATTCCAATTGCTTATCAAATCAGATTTTTTTTTGCCGGGCTGTTCACACTGCCACACATATGAAACCTGTATGTGTTCTGCAGTCTGAACGGGCAAACGACCTGAAAGTGTCCCCCATGCGCAGTAGAGGGCGCAATAGTGTCAGCGTTCTCAGTGTTTCACCAACCGTCATAAAAAGAAGTGCTCAGTGTTTGCGGAAGTAAACATGGAGGCTAACGGTGGAGCTTAGCTTACATATTTGAAGTTGTTGTCCAACCTGAGCAGCATATTAACAACTTAATCCTCATATAGTCCGTCATAGTTGTTTTTCTTCCCACTTGCGCATATCGGGTCGCAGAATTTGTTGAGTATCAGTGACATTCAGTTCAGATGAATGCGGCCTGGACGTTAGGTCACATTTGAATCGGACACGTATCGGATATAGGTCGCATTCGAAAAGAATCTGACCTGTGCTGTTCAGACAGTCATGAACAGGAACAGTCACTGCTTAGTTTATATTACTTTTAACCCAGAAAAGGATTTAGATCAGTCACTCTTTAGCTTGTTTTATCAGAAACTGTAGAGTACTCACTATTTAGAAATGGAATTAGCAACCCTGAACAGGAGTTGCTAATTACATACTTTAGAACAACATTAGATTAGATTAGTTTTCTTTTCTATTTGGTTTGTTATTTTGTTTGTATTTCCTTTTAACTCATGTAAAGCACTTTTAATTGCGTTATTGCTGAAAATGTGCTACATAAATACAATTACCATACCTTACCTTGTAAGTTTTAATCCTGTGCAGACATACAGCCATGGATAAAATACCGCTCTCGTTTTCTTCAGGTTTATTGTTCATTTTTATGTCTTGTACAATAACTGTTTAATTAAAGAACTTTTATCTAGCCACTTTAGAATAGAAAATCATATAATAATTATCTCACAACAGGGGAAAACTCCAGAGCAACAACAGCACAATGACAAACAATGGAATGTACCTTCATGCAAAGATAAAACCTAAAAGAACAAATGAAGGGCAACATGCTGTACAATACTGACAAAGTTATAAATAGCGCACCTTAAATATAGTAAAAACCAGACAGATATATCTACAAACCTGGTTGGAGTGCAGCAGCGGCGTAGCATGCATCTGAGTCAGGGTGTACCGTGGGGCTGTGTCGGGCTCCGAAGTGGCTAACCGAGGCTTCCCATTCTCTCTGCTACGTTGACAAAAATGACTCATTTTTGTCAACGTCCAAATGAGCTTCATCAAGTTGCCACTGAATATTGAAGTCCGATGCAAAGAAAAACCAGCATCTCATTGTTCCACCGCTTGTTTGTAGCTTCCGTCACTCCTGTGTTGCAGTGAGTTTGAAATTTTGCGGCGTTTGTTTTTCTTCTCTCTTTACTGCTACGTCTGACCATGCCCACAGCCAGTCAGTGAACAGGAGCGAAACTTGCGTCACCCACACAAGTTGGGCCAGTCCGGCTGGCATAAAAAGCAGGGACCTAAAAAGCAGGAACCGGCCTCAAAAAATACTGGTGGAAACACTCACAAAGCAAGCCTAATAGAGTGGAGCCGGGACCATTAGAGCCAGTGGAAAAGGGGCATTTCTTCCTGAAACGGATACAGTTTAATGCTGGGCATTTGATGAAGATCAGCTTTGTCTGGAGAAGACATTTTACCAAAAATTCATGGTATGTATTTGTGCGCTATTACAGCGATAGTTTTTATTGTTCATTCATCTTACCAATGATTAATGAAAAACATATAGACTTTCATAGGTCTAAATAGTTTCACATGACAGTAGAACAAATGCTGATAATCCTAATAATATGTGGGAGATATGTAAACTCACAGTACTTTTTAAGATTTTTGCTGCACTTTTTTAGTTGTGTTGAATAATTTTATAAGTTAGTGATTAGCCTGTGGCTCTCTGGGATGTTTTTGCATCATTAAATTGATCAGAGGACTGAAATTCTATCCAAAACACTTTGTCTTTAGATGAGTTGAAGGAGAAAGTCATTGACTTGATCCAGGCTTTGACTTCACAGATGAGGCCAAATCTGTTGTAATGGTATAAAACATTACAACAGATCTGTTGTAATGGTATAAAACATTACAGCAGATTTTTATTAGTTAACTTGACAACGATCACAAAGCTGATGCAAAGTCATCTCAGCCATGAGGAAGTTCGGAGCTGTGTGGTTTTTTTCTTTTTTTTCCCCCAAATGTCCACAGCTTTCACTCCATGTGCATTACCTGTCCAGCGAATGGGGGTCGGTTGCCTGACCAAGCTACCTGGCCTGTATTAAGTTGTCTAGAAATCTGAGCTAGATTCTGATTGGACGACCCCGAGGACTGGATGTCATTTACACCAGGAACATGGATCACAGAAGAGCTGTGAACAAAAACACAAAACCAGACAAAAAGTCAAATACAAAGCTTTTACTTTACATATCTAAACTGCCAGAATAGAATATATCCATTAACTGAAGCATACCTGAAGCTTTTGGCAGAGTGGCCCTGCTGGAAGGGAGAGCTCTGGGTGTAGAGAGGCTGTCCTCCTGCCGTAGAAGAGGGAACCATCATCTTCTTGTCTCCCGCTTTGGATAAAAAAGCCCCAGTTACATATCAAAGCAGTCTATATACATGGTAAGTGTGTGTGTATGTGTGTGAACAACATTTTTATATCCTGGTGTGGACCTACACATGTCTAAAATGTGGGGTTGTGGGTCCTCCTTGTGCTTCTCCTTGTGGGCACATTTTCTTGATCCCCATGAAGGTAAATACTGTTTTTGGGTTAAGTGTTAGGTATGTAATGGTTAAGGTTAGAGTAAGGGTTAGGCGTAGAAAATGAATGGAAGTCAATGTAAAGTTCCCACAAGTGAAAAAAACACAACTGTGTGTGTGTGTGTGTGTGTGTGTGTGTGTGTGTGCGTGTGTGTGTGTGTGTGTGTGTGTGTGTGTGTGTTGCAGACATACAGCCAGATATGCTGGTGTACATTTCAGCAAAGCGTGGGTCTCTCTCCTGGGAGAAGAGAGTCTCTGTCTTATCAATGGTCTTCCCTGTATCGTGGACTCCACTGCTGACTCCTGCCACAGGCACCTGAAGGAACAGTTACATGTTATGTCAATTTTATTAAAGATAACATAAATATATGGTTACATTTAGTTATGTGCATATAGGACATCTACTACATGTCTGAAATATTCTTCTCCATTCACTAAATGGAGAACATTTATAGAACAAGGTTGGAGGTGTTCTTCTGGAGTGCAGACGCCGACTACTTTCAGAAAAGGACATTAGGATTTCGTGACAGCAATTATTAAATTGTCTTTTGAACGGGGTTCCAGTTTAAACAGTGGGTGCACTTTTAATCACACCCATTATGGGTACAATTAACAAGAGAGGAAATCCCATGTCATTATTGCTAAAAATTCAGTCTTACTTTTTTCTTAGATGAATGACAGATTTAATTTGTTCTTTGTTTCTTTTGTCTTTTCATATTGAAGAAACCTTTGTATTATAACAAAGGTTTCTGTTATGATTTCTTTGGGAGGGGGGGCAATTCTAGACTTTTCCAAGATTGGGGGGGTCGGAACCTTTCTGCCCCAGTATTTCCATCCATGCAAATTAAGGTCCAACAGTCCAACCAAGAACTTTTCTTGCCTGGATATTATTATCAAGGAAACTGATCATCAATGATCAGAAAATTCTTAGGAATCATCATATATCTTCTTATTTATTATTTAAAAAATGCCAATGCAAATTGTCAAAGGACAATTCGCAGTTTGTGGTTTGTTAGAATGGCCCTTAGCGGTTGGAGGAAGTAGGAGACTTGAGGCAGAGAAACGGTGGAATCCCACTAGGTGTTTATTCACCAACATTTAACACACAGACTGCCCTGCTTACAATGGCCTAGGGTCTCAGCAGCAACAACACTCAATGTGGCTAACATGCAGGCTTTTATAGTCCCTGGCTGCTCCAATTAACAAACCCACCAAGAAACACGGTAAAACAAAATACATGCACACAAACAAACCTTGACAAAATAACCAAATCTTCAGAATAATATATGTTAGCAAATACTATTCCATTAAAGCACCTCTAAAAACACATTTCTATAAATATAAATCCAATGTTAAACTTCTAAAGTGCATAGCTCTATTGCTCCCCCTCTTCCATTTGATTTGGTTTCTTCCAGAACCTTTAAAAGGTGCTTAGGCCCCTGGGGAATCTTTTAGCCTAAACACACTGCAGAGGAAGAGACAGAGGTAAGCCACACCCACACAAAGCCTTCAAACATTTCAGTGCATTTCAAACAGTCACAATACTTGTATTATACATTTGTTTGTTGTATTTTAACCACCAGTTCCAGCTGAGATGCCACTGCATAAAAACACACAATCAATAAAATACTTCAATCTGTTTGTATCCGTTTCTTTTATCATTCAACACACATTTTAAGTGTTTTCCAGCCAAGTAATGAAGACCTTCATTACATGGTTCTATCACAAACTGCAAATTTTGTGGTAAGTTTTTTGTTGGACAACATTAAAATATGTGGGTCAAACCTGAGGTGTTTTCACTGAATGCTGAACTTCAGTTCAAGACCGTTCGGTGTTTAAGAACCAACAGCAGAAGTTAAAATCTATTCTTTGACAAAATAACACACTACACTACAGAACCAACTACACATGTGCAACAGCAGGATTATCCTAAAAAATCTGTGAAAATACACAATCCCAGGTTATGTGATTATTTTCATCTTGGCCTCAGAACATAAATGTTGTCAAATAATGTCACATCACCTGATTAAATCCTTAAAATTTCTAACTGTCATAAGTTATAAATTCAGGGCCCACAGTTTAAATGATTTCAAGTATTTGTTTACCGTTACATAATTTGGGCTTCCAGCTCATAAAACCCACGAAAACAGAACTTCAAAATATTAGAATACTCTGAAGAAACCAGCCTAAATTTCTCAGTTTTTGCAAAAAAAAAAAAAGAAAAAAAGAAAGACATTAAAATTAAAATATTGTTTTTAAACATATCTTTTAAAAATGATATGTCTTCAATACTTGGTTGGGAATCCCTTTGCCTTAATCACTGTCAGCTCTTCTTTGTCGTTGGGACTGGTGCCCCTTACTTTCCTCTTGGGTAAACCCTCAATGGAATTTAGGTCCGGCAAGTTGGCTGGCCAGTCAAACATGGGCTTGGGCATCAAACCAGGTTTGATGCCCAAGCATCAAACCTGATGCATCAAACCTGATGAACATGCCGCCAGAAGCAAGTTCTGCTGGAAGATGAAATCTGCATTGCCATACAGGTCCTCAGCAGAAGGAATCACGAAGTCCTCTAAAACATTTTGATAGACTGTTGCGGTGAACTTGGGTTTAAGAAAGCAGTTTATCAACACAATGTGTTGATAAACCCAAAATCATCACTGACTGTGGATATTTCATACTGGACCTCAAGCAGTTTGAGTTCAGTTCCTCACTTGTCCTCCTCCAAGTCCTTTGGCTCTTCATCACCGAATGAAAAGCAAACATTACTTTCACTGGAAAAGAGGACCTTAGAACACTGGCCTATGATCCAGCACTTTTTTTCTTCTCCTTGGCCCAGTTGTCCTCCATGAGCCAATGTCCTCCATTGGCTCACGAAGAACCCGACAGTTGTAGCCCATTTCCTGGATGTGTTTGACTGTGGTGGTTTTTGAAGCTATGACTCCCGCCTCATTCCGCTCTTTCTGGATCTCTGCCAGATTCTTGAATCTTCTTGGTTGGAATACAGTCATCTCTTTGGTGCATTTTCTCCTGCCACATTTTGCCCTTCCACTAGACCAGTGTTTCTCAACCTTTTTTTGGGCCAGTGTTCCCCTATCCACGATCCAGGTCCCTCACTGCCCCCATCAAAGAATTTGCAGGCTACTTTGCACTGAATATTATCACTATTGTTAATGTTCTTTTATGGTTGTTTCTGTATTTATCATCAAAAATAATTTTCCAGAGAACAAAAAAGCCATGGGAATAAAAACATTTTTTTACAGAATCTATGAAAAATGCAATGGCCTAACAGCAGACAGAGTGGGAAAAAAAATTCTTCTTCTGTGCCATCTTCTAATGTTAGTTGTTAAATCTTGCACAAAATGACCAGATAAAAGATGTTAAATTAGAGGAATAAAATGTTCCTCTAGTGTCCCAAATTCAGGGTTCCTCATGTACAAAGTGTAAACCACACAGAGAAAAACCAGTCGCCATTCAACTTCAGACATATCTAGGGTTTTATTCAGACAATTAAATGCATAGAAAAACAGATCAGCATCACACCCAAACCATCAAGAAGTCCAAACCATAAAACAGACATTAATTACCTGTGAAAAGTAGAAAAATGAACAAAATACAAAAATAAGAGAAAAAGCAAAGGCGGCTTTGGGAATTGCTTGTGCGTCCGCAAACAAAGCAATTCGATTTGCTTCTGTGAACTGGAGGTTTTTATTAAGAGGTGCATTCCTAATTTTAATATATTCATTGAAGGTGTGTCCTCTCCTTCTAAACCTCTAAGCAGTTTCAAATTACCTAGATGGGATGGTCTAAATGATTTTGTCACCTTCTTTGAGACCTATTCAAAACCAAAGATGAAGAGAGAGAAAGAGCAAAGGTCCAGAATGAGTAAAAGTCAGAGAAAGCAAACAGGATTTTCTCATGTCGGTTACATCTGGAATCTCTCCTGTTCCTCACTTTCTAAACATTTGAATAAAGACCCTAGTTGTCAGAAAGATATTTATTTTTCACCTAGACCTTGTTTTGTTTTTCTACAGGTTTTAAGTGTCTTCCTTACCCCTAGAAAATCACCAAAGAATTTGACTTGTGAACAGACAGAACTTGTCTTTTCCATCCTGTTTTTATCTGAACTGCCTAGCATCTGTTTCCTTTTCTGAGCGATTCATAAAAAAAACAGATTCCTGCATTAAACCTAAAGTAACGTATAGGCAATTTGGAACCCAATGTTCTTATTTTAAAATGCTGATGATTTTATATAATATTGCACATATGGTTAAGTTTAAAAACTAGCATATTTTAATTTTATTTTCCTAACAATGTACAACAATGCCAGTTTAAACTCTGATCTATTTGCAAAAAACTCAGCTCTGAGCATCATTAAAACATGGATAGAACTGCAACTATATCAATCATAACTCTTTTTCTCTTCAATGTTTCTGTGAGTTTCTGACGGAGCAGCTCTGTGCAGGAGAATGGGACATCAGAGTACCATCCATAAAATTTCACCCACATAGCATAACTGTGCTTTCAGTGGAAAAACAAAAGCTCCAGATCCTTTTAACGCCATATAAATATGGGACAGAAACATGGATTATATCTTTATACAGACCTGTCAATTGATTTATAGGTTAATAGTTTTTTTTTCTGGACAGGAATTACACATAAAGCTGGTTCTTAATCAATCAAATCAAATCCTAATGAGTCAAACTGAAAGTGTCATGGAGTCACTTAACACCATCACGACATTAACACTGACATGAA